GAGCCTTTGTCCCAGCGTCCCGAGAGCGCGGGCGAGCGGGCGGAGAAGAGCCACGTGTGCGAGCACTGCGGCCGCACCTACCGCCACGCCGGCTCCCTCCTCAACCACAAGAACAGCCACAAGACGGGCTCCTTCTCCTGCGGCGCTTGCCACAAGGAGTTCTCCAACCTGATGGCCCTCAAGAACCACCGCCGCATCCACACGGAGCCCAAGCGCTACCAGTGCTTGGAGTGCGGCAAGGCGTTCCGCGTCTCCACGCAGCTCATATGTCACCGCAGGATCCACAGCAAGGAGAAGCCCTTCGCCTGCCCGGTGTGCGGCAGGAGCTTCTCCAGCAAGTCCAACCTGAGGCACCACGACAAGTTGCACCGCAACCAGCGCGCTGGCGACGACTCCTGCTCGTTCGGCTTGGATGCTCACCACTTCATCGATTTGGACATGGGCTCTTTCCTCTGAAGTCTCCTCCGCCTTCCTTCCAACTTTGCCGCCGCTTCTCATTGTTGTCCTCAAGTCACGCGCGGCGTCTCTTCGCCTCCCTTGCGGACAACCGACCAAAGTGAGTTGAAAAGCCCGCTTTCCCTGCAACTGTTCGGTGCCTGTGTCAGGAAACATCAAATATCTACTCTTCTGCTCCCAAAAAGTTGGGGCTGCTGGGCTCTGAACCTTTACAGGTGATCCGAATTTGGACCTTTGGCGGCTTGCATTTTGGTAACCGACTTGGATCTTCCCCGGTACGCCGAATAGAAATGTTTGTTGCGAAACGGCGGCGCATTTCTGACGGGTCTCCGCAGGGTTCGCGCACCCGTTGTGAATTTGGCCGTGAGAACAAATGCGGAGATGTTGAACAGTAGGATGCAGCATTTGAAAATGCGTTTCTCCTTGTAAAGGTTACAGACTCTCCAAAAAGCCGAATATCCAGAACTTTTATTGATGTTGGTGGTGGTGGGTAGTGATGTGTGTTCGTGAGTGCTCAAGGACTGCTCACGTCACACAAACCTCTTGTTTAAAAAAAAAAAAAAACCCCCGTCAAAATACCTCATCTAGTTTGCGTGAAGCTCACTCAAAGTGATGGACTCGAATCGAGTAAATAGCTCTTCTACTTCCGAATAAAATCATTTGAATTCAAGTTTTTGGCAAGTGACATTGGATGCTAAAAGCTACAGATTTTGACGAGGGAGATTTTGTGTGTTGAATGTTTTGTTTTAACCGTTAAGGAGCTTTTTGCGGCAGGAAATCATCACGATTCCACGCTGATTTGCTGACCCATCTTCAACTTGACATAAAAAAACTCAACCGCTGTTAGATGGTAGCCATCGCAAAATAGTCAGCTACGCCTTGCTGACTTTTTGTTGTTGTTGTCCTGCTTAAACTTTCAATTTGTTTCACAAAAATCTCATCTGTGATTGTGTGTCGACGCATTTTTCTCTTGACTCTCGTCTGTCTTGACTTTTGTCTGCTTGGACCGGCCGTCCTCTGAGGTTCTTCTGTCTTGAAAGCGCTTCTCTTCTCTTGCCTTCTTTTGTCTGACAGGCTTCTGTCCTGACGCACGCGTCTTTTGAGTCTCTTCTTTTTGGGACTCTTCTCGCTCGATTGATGACTCGTCTCGACTCCCTCTGTTCTTTCTTGAATCTCTCTGACTCTCGTCCGTCTTGAATCTTTTTTTTTTTTTTCTGAGTAGCTTGACTTTCATTGTTGATCTTGAATGGTGTCTCGACCCATCTCCACGAGGACTCTTTGGTGTCGCGATTGTTCAACTCCGACATGTTGATTCGTGTCCGTCGTGAGGGGCGGGCAAATGTGTCGTAAATAATCAAAGTATTAGTTGAGCACGCAACGCAGCCCGCCTCGAGCGCAGTTTCTCTCTCGAGGGCTCTCCCGGGGGACGCCTCATCACTCATCCTTGTCTTCTCGTGTCTTTGTCTCTCGTGCCTGGTCCGCACATTTCTGACGGGATTTTCTTTGCCTTATTTCCAGAGGTTGGGCACCATCACCTCCTGAGTTTGAAATACCTCGTCCGAGTCGGCCAACTGCCCGCCTCGTGACGTTAACGCAACAAGCGCGGTGCTTGATTTAGGGACGAAACTTTTGCGGCCTTGATTGTATTTGCGCGCGCCGGCCGGCAACAAAATGGTTCCTGGCGCGGCCGTTTTGTTTCGAACTTCAAGCATTCGCTTTCCATGGTGAACGAGCAAGAAAGTGTTGGGGTCGCACTGGAAAGGGGGTGGGGGGGAGCACATGCCACATTTCTAGCATTTATTTCCCTGTTGGTAGTATTCCTGACCTGTAGCCTCGATTTGTCGTGGTAGCCGACATGCAAAGCAGCAACTAATATTTAGTTGTGGGTTGTTTGATGTTTTCGCCTTCTCGTCTCTTGTGGCGCTTCCACATCTTCCTCCTCACTCAACGTTGTAACTCGTAGAATAATCGACTGAACACTGGATCTTTGTACAGCTTTCTTCTGTAGGAGAACTAGAAGTGCTAGATTAGTTATTATGTAATACAATACCGGAGGGAGGGGCGGTAAAATGCTCAGTATTTAAGTCCTATTTATATAGAACTATTTTGTCACGGAAGTGTCGATTTCCACTTCTTTGTTTAGAAGCTCATTTAGGATGGAAGCAAAGTCGTGATTAAAAGACTGGCCAAACGACCGTGTGGCTCTCGTTTTCGATTCCAAGTCACGGCAAGCATCACTCTTCCAAGTTCAACGTTTTATTGTGAAAATACATTTTGGTTCTCAAAAGCTATTCAGACGACTGCAATCGGGTCAAAAGAAGCCAGTGCATGTATACGACATTGATATCGATTCGGGGGAGGGGGGGGGGCATTGAACTCATTAGGAGGATGTTAGTTCAAATCACAGCTGGCCTGGTAGAACTTTTGACAAATCCAAAAATCTGAAGAAAATTTGCTTGTAATTTACAAAAAAAAAAAAAAAAAAAATTAAAAAAAGCATTACGTTGAATGTTAACCATACACTCCCTAAAATATATTCATCAATATGGGTAATCTCTGTCGGGGACAAAAAAGTGATCTTTAAAAGCAACGAGGAAAACACCTCACATATGAACATTGGGTGTGTTGACTTTTTCTAGCTTCAGTCCCGCAATCGAAATTTTGCGCACCTTGTCGTGGCAGAGGAAAAAAAAGATTTGAAGGCTTTCAACCAACGACTATTTGGGCCGCACTGCAGACAAGACAGAAAAATGGCACTTTTTAAACAAATAACCTGTACATTAAAAAAAGCCTTCTAGAACAGCTGAACGGGAGCTTTTTTTCACACTCTGTTGTCAAACCGTTTTAAATGTTCCCGCTTTCCAGTCAGTGTGGCCCAAATAGTCCTTTTGATGGAAGGAAAACAAACAAACAAATAGTCGTCAGTATTTCCACATGAAGTGTCGTTGGCGATAGCTTGCCTCCGCCGATAGAATCACGATTTGATTTGATTAGAGTTGACACAGACAGAAAAAGTAGTGTAAAAGTAGTGCGTGTGTGTGTGTGTGCGCGCGCGCGCGGTTCGGTCGGCGTCGGCGGGAGCCGCAGTAACAGTGCACGATTGTCTAGAGAGAAGACGCTTCACCTAAACGTTAGCTACATTCAAACAGACCCCGACAGTGTGAAGCCCGACCTTTGACCTCTTCATACTTACATTCATTCTGTTACGTAAGATAACAGCCCACTTGTGAGGGTCCAAGTGTTCATTCTACCTGGGGGCGGGGTGGGTGGGGGGGGCATCGTTCAAAGGCGCCCTAGCGTGATGTCGCCGTTTCTGCAGTTAAATAAGGGTCCTTTAAAAAAAAAAAAAAAAAAAGTATTCGTTGTCAGGGGAAAGCCTGTGGTCGCTCAGTCAGTCAGAGCACACAGTGGGCAGTCCGGAAGGTCCTTAGGTCAGGTCAGGCCTCGGTGGGGGCGGATAGGGGGGAAGGGGCGGTCACTGCTTGCTTCTGTCGGTCACATGGTTTTGTTTCCGGAGGAAGACGAGGCTGCCGATGACAAATGGCGACCATTCAGTTAGCGCTCACGTGCGTGTCTGCGTCAAAGGGGTGGGCAACATTTTTTACTTTTTATTTTTTTTACCTTCAAGAGTGGAATTACTCTTAACGAACCACTTATAATCTAAAATGTATTTATGTCTCAGAATTAGTGCACCAAATTGGAATGGACTATCGATCATGTGAATGCCAAACTTTGCCAACCCCTGACGTCACATCGTTTTTGATACATGAACGTGAGGTGAAAAGTGCACTTACTGAAATGTTTAAGCTTGATAAAGTGGCCCTGCAGTTTCTTCAATTGGCTCTGTATAAAACAAACAAACAAAAAAAGGAATCAGGTCAAGGTTCACTCCAGCGAAAGCGTGCATGCTCATATTGACGAGCGTTTGCTAACAAGTCATGCTTAGCCTTCGGTGTCACTCAAATAATGTTCGTTCAACCCACGTGCCGTCACTACATCGCCACCAAACATGCATTATACACCCTTAAAACTGCTGGGCTCAAAATATAACCCAGTCTGAGCTCAGATTAATCCTAATCCTGTCAGATTTGGGAGACACCCAAAAAAAAAAGAAAAAGAAACATTGTACCTCGTAGAGGCAGTTTGTGCGATTTGCGCCGATGCACCATGACCCCAATGATGAGCGCGGCGCCCACCAGGACCACGGCCAGCACCGAGAAGCTACTGATGGCTGCCAGCTTCCAAACGTCCGACGTCTCCTCCACCAGTTTGCCTACGGCCGAAAAACCACCGCGACTTCAAAGCTGGAAATCAACGGTAATTAACCAGAAATTCACAAAATCCAAGATCAACTCTCATTATACGATTGTATTTTAGAATAATCCTGACTTGGTGGTTCACAGGCTCGCGCTATGCAAAGTAAATTCAGTTCAATTGCATTTCATTCTTTAAGGACAGTTTGTTAATTGAGTAACCAAGATGGCTCGAGCAATCCTAAAAGTCTACATTTTATTTGTCCCACGTAGTGCCGTAAAAGTGAGAGGCGGCCGAAAGGAAGATCGTGAAGTGATGCCTCACATGTGTTGCACGACGGCGTCTTGGGGTACTGCTTGCAGGATGCGCACGGCACACACGCGTCCAGGTCGGAATTCCAGAATTCCGAGAGGCCGCACTTAGCTGGGCACAGAAAAGTGTCACATCAACTTCCTGGTTTGGAACAATTTCCCACAACACAAAAACATGGCGCAGCAATGAGGTGAGCTTGTCAAAACGTTGCATTTGGTGCTATCGCATGTCTACTCTTCTACCTTCACCATGGGGGGAATTTGAAGACTTTCAACACCTTAAAATAATGTAGACGTATGTAAAATATTGTCCAAACACTGTTAGAAAGCCTTCTATCGGCGTAGAAAGCAGGATTGGAGAGAATTTGACATTCGGCCATTACAAGCAAAAGATGAGGCTGAGCCCCTTTTTCACTCTTCTTCTTTCCAATTTCCACTGCGTTCAACAAAATGCAGTTATAATCGGACACAAAAAGCCACAATGTTCTTGTAAAGTGGTCAAAAAACCGCCCCCACAAAGGCTTGTCGTTTGAGAAACCCGTAAACAGAGCCACTTTGCATTGTACTTTAGTCATGTCATTTTCTTGGTAAGTAGTCTGCCCGAGGCTTCGGTGCCCACTAAAAAAGCACCTCGACTCGCATGCAGTTGAAGCGGGCCCGTCCGTCATCAAAAGCGTTGCCGAGAACCCCGCGAGCGACTTTGTGTGTGCGAGAAAGCCTTTGCAGTGGCGCCGCTGACGCACGAGATGCCGAGCGAGCGGGTAACTTTGCGAGCGTGCGTGTGTTTGTACAAAGTGCTTCCTTGGGATTGTTTGTGTGTCTTCCACAGAACGTCACCCAGATGAAAACAAGATGCCGCTTGAGGGAATAGCTTCCTTCCCGCCTGCCCGCCCGCCCACTGTGGACACAATGGAAGGCTTCATTTGTTTGCCTGACAGCCAGACAGATGAGTGGTTCAATGTGTGCCCCCCCGCCACCCCCTCCCTTCTCAGCGCTCACCCCAACTTTGTTACTTTCAACTCAACTTGTTTGGATTATGCCTCTGCACTTAATATCATCCATCCATTCTCACCACTGCTTATCCTGAACAGGGGGGGCGGGGGGCAGTTGTTCGTTGGAGCTGAACTCGACTGACTTGGGACTGAAGGCGGACTACGCCCTGAACTGGTCGCGGGGCACATATTGAGACGAACAACCATTCGCCCCGACGTCCACAACGTCACTGAGTGGGAACCGACCGGTCCCGCGCGGCCCGCACGCAATTCAGGCGAGTGTTACAAGTTCACATTTAGCACTTCATAAGTTGTCCTCCTCGTCTGTCGACGTCAGTTCCAATTTTTGGAGAATTGAAGTGGAGAGTGTGAAACAGATGCGGCCAAACTTTATGTTGATGGCTATAGCGGCCCGTCAAAATCACCAAGTCGACCCAGAGTGTAAGCTCTCCAGTCCAAATGGTTCCGAAGGATATTTCAAACCTAATCGATTCCAAATTTTGCCAATTTGATTTTTCAAAACTGGTCTAATTTGAAAGCTGGCAAGGTGTTAAACCGGTGAGAAACCTGACGCTATTTTGTTTTTTGTGGGAAAAGTCTTGTTTTTTGAACAGTAGAGACGCAAGAAAACCGTCTTCCATGGTGCACAACTTTGGAAAATAGTGCCAGCTACAGGCGAAAAAGGGCAATTGCGGTCTTTTCAGGTGGAATGCGAATTACTGTTCCCCCCCGCAAAAAAAACATAAAATAAATGCTACACTCGTAGTGCAGCAGAGTGAGTTTGGAATGCGCAGTCGTTAACCAAAAGTGGCACCAGCAGAGGAAGAACTCTGGGAATGCCCAAGGTCACCGGGAAGCAGCGTCGGCGTTGACCGTCAGCTGACCCCGTGTCCGACAAACCACATCCGCACCGCAATGTGTCGCAAGGCAGCCAACGTTCTCGCTCGCCTGCCGTCACGTCACGCGCGCGTGCGCACTCGCTCGCTCGCTCGGGGAGTTTTCTCACCGCTCCGCTCATGTGCAATCTGGCGCCGGCTTTCGCATTCCTGACGTTGGGGAGTCTCGTCGTTTTGGGTGTGGGGATGTTGCATTTTGTCATAAAACGGACGGGGGCGGGCGGAGCAACAGCTGATATCCAGATGTGCGAGATGGCCTCTCGCCGCTGTGAGACTCGGCTTCATGTTTGCAGTGGCGGCGGACGCGCACGCGCGCGCGCTCAACAGCGGCGCTTGAAAGCATCAGGAAATGATCTGAAGGCGAGCGCTGTTTTCGTATGAACTCAGCCTGCTGTCCTCCGTCGGGATTCCACAGCAACGCTTAACAAAACAACTGCGCCGAACTCTTTGGATGAAGTCGTTTTGCAGCACATGGCTGAAGGACCGATGATATGTAGAATTTTTTTGACACTCGGAAGTTGGATTAATTTTGCGTGGAATCCTGATACGGGCACGCTTATCATACTTTGAGATTCCAAAAATCTTTTCGTGTTACTTTTACAGACGGAGTATTTTATCAGGCACAGGACACAAAAACAAAAGTCACGATAAGTGTTATGGAATAAACCACAGTCTTTCTTCTTCTGTACACTAATACCGAAAGGAGTGCATTTAAAAATCAACACCCAAAACTCAATATGGAATTAAACGAAAACAAAGGTCAAATGAAGATTTTTCCTGTTAATTTGCAAAAAAAAAAAAAGATCAACACTTTTTAATGCTGCAGGTGCTAGCTGAAGTTTTCTCTCAAACTAAACAGAAAACAACAACATGCCCCTGCTAGCTTAATGTGAACGTACAGGCGTATATTATTTATCCTCTGGAAAGACAACCACGGTTCTTCCACTTTTTCGACTCACTGACACTGACTGTGATTCTTTCTCGATAGGACTGTATTATTCTGCTCCGCGGTAGCCAAGGCGGACACACCGGATGGAGGGGCACAATGAAACGAATTGACGCATCAGATCATGTTTCACAAATTGTTCAATTCTTTCCTGTCGATTGATTTGCATTGTTGCACAATACGAAACAGTGCCGTTTTCTTGATAGAAGACAAAACGTTGCGGTTATTGGATGCCTTGTGCCTTATCCTGTCTTTGACTGTTTCCCGATCTCCCCCCCCCCTGCATGAATCCCCAAAGACCAACAGGTGCATGTTTCCGTGGTAAACTGTGAAAATGTGCACTTCTCAACTGGTAACATGCTAGTTTATATTGTAATGAACACTCCAGATCATTCCGTTCATGGCATCAGTTATGTTCGTATATCTTGGGGAAAAAAAATCATGATTGAGGTGATTCGTTTCTTGACTTGAGCGGGCGGATCGTTGGCTGAATATACGACAGACAAACAAAAGAGTGAGGAATGAAAGCGCTGGTTTGAGACTGGGGCCGCAGGCAACATCTGGCACCAAATTAGCTTCAATTAATTCTTGCATTCACTGAGTTTGGCTTGTCAGATTAAAAAAAATAAAAAATAGACAGACGCAGTGAGGAAAGTTCTCATTTCAGACGATTCCTGAAGGCCACCTGACATGGACCTGATTATTCTAAGTGTGGCCTTCAGTGTCAGTCTGAAATCAGAGATACAGCCATCCATCGATGTGCAGCGATGGCATCAGGAAAATGCGGATTTTTTTTGACTGATCCTGAAAACATCGTGTTACAGTTACATAAAGTGTGCTGCCTTCAGGGTGAGCTCGAAATCAGAGCGACATCATCCCTCTCCTTAGACAGATAGCCAGCCACCTCGGCAACGTGAGGATAGGACTGAATTCTGACTGGCATCGAAGGCAACACGAAACATACGCCGGATTACAGTAGCTTGAAATGTGGCGTTGCCTTCAGTGACGGTCTGAAATCACAGTCATGTCTAGTTTGGGAGACAGACACGTTTGACCTGCTATAGAATCATAATATGCACTCGTTTCTGTGTCACCATCATTTGACGACTTTTCCAACCTTGTTTTCGTTCCCGAAACCAGGTGTGTTACTTCGGTCTGAAACTTGCGGGTCGATGAATGCAGCGCCTGAAATCAGGCCGTCAGAATGCGGAACCGGTCAACTAGGTAAGCCGGTAACGGAACCGCTTCGCACACACTTGACGGACACACACACACACACACAAAAAAAAAAGCCTCAATGAAACAAACCCCAACTTACTTTTCTGTGCGCACGTGCCGGGGAGAGCGCTCAGCAACGCCACGAAAAATCCACAAATGGTGCATAAAGCGTGGTAGTCCATCGTTCGACGGTGTGCGTCTGCGCGCTTGACACGCACACCTTCCACAATAATAATAATAATAAAAATAATAATAATAATAATAATTTAAAAACAACTCGGAAAAAAGTTCACGCGAAGAGCGATGAGCTCGCGGTGGTCGTCAGCATGGAAAAACGAACATCACGGAGTGACTCACCGGGACCACTGGGCTCCGTGTTTTTAACACGCTGCACACTGGAGCACACACCCACGCTCGCTCGCTCACTAACATTCTCTCTCTCTCTCTCTCTCTCTCTCTCTCTCTCTCTCTCTCTCTCCCCCTCTCTCTCCCTCTCTTCTCTCTCTCTCTCTCTCTCTCTCTCCCAAACACACACAAGCGCACGCGCGCGCACACACCATGAGTCATTTCCTATCCAGTCCACACTGCTCCACTGCACTCAGGAAACTCCACCAGTGGACTTTTTTGTCGTCTTTTCCCACACACTGTCCATGCACACAAACAGCTAGTGGACACTCGCACACACACACACACTCGGCGCAAAATGTTTCAACTCGTAACTTCTTTGATTCTCTCAGATATTTTACACATGGTGGGAGAGAGAGAGAGAAAGACGACCTTGTCGTCTGGATTCAATCGTGTTCTCATTGTTATTACCACGCCTGACGACGTCATCCCGCTGTCTGCCAACACACGCGCGCGCGCATGCACACGAAACCTGATGACATCCAATGGAGCAACGCGCTTTGTTGTGGGGAAAACTTCAATAATAAGCTTATGGAGCATCCTGGAATAACAGGACACACCACAGGGGTGACGGCGTGAACGAGGGGTTAGCGCGTCCACCTCACCCTTGTGAAGTTCGGGGTTTGAAACGGAGCTCTTCCTCCCACTTTCCCCAAAACAGCCAAGTTAGGTCCGTCGGTGTGGGTGGACGTTTTTAAGTTTCTGATCATCTCCAAAAAGAAGGCAAACTATTTGATGCTGCCAAATTTAACAATTTGGGTTTTTATTTTTGCTGGCCCACGTGACGGCGAAGAGCGACCCCGAAAACAAGGTTCTGAGCAAACCGTGACTTTTTCGTATGGACCGCCTTTGCTGTCAGAAAAAAAAAAATCATATAAATTGACTTAAAAGAAAAGGAAGCCCTCAATCATGTGACCTTCTCACTTTGGAAGATGTGAGTGTCCCTGACGCAGAGCGGTGGGGTTATTAGCGTCTGGGGGTAGGGTGGGGCCTCCCGCAGCCGTGCAAATTTGCAATAACAATGCAGTCAAGCCATAGCTGCTCTGCGCCAAACATCTGGAGGTACGCGACACCACCCGACTGATTCGTGCCTGTTTCAAAGTCAGCAGTCAGGTCCAAGCATCGACCTTCATCCGGAGCTTTGTTCGCACAAAACACCACCGTCTTTGCTCAGGCTTTGATTCCAAAAAATGACCCCAGAAGACCATTTATAGAAATAAAATAGCAAAAAACACCCTTACTATACTTTACATGTACGTCTTTTTAAAAAAACGCCTGACTATACATGGTCGTTTTTTTGGGGGGGGGCTAAAAATGCCTTACCTACATATACATGGTCGTTTTTTTCGTCGAAAAACGCCTTATTATATACATGGACGTTTTTTTTTTTCGGTTAAAAACACCTTACTATACATGGTCGTTTTTTGGGGCTAAAAACGCCTTACTGTACATGGTCGTTTTTTTGAGCTAAAAACGCCTTACTTACATGGTCGTTTTTTCCGTAAAAAACGCCTTACTATACATGGTCGTTTTTTGGGGCTAAAAACGCCTTACTGTACATGGTCGTTTTTTTGAGCTAAAAACGCCTTACTTACATGGTCGTTTTTTCCGTAAAAAACGCCTTACGAAACATGGTTGTTTTTTTCGGCTAATAACGCTTTACGATACATGGTCGTTTTTTCGGCCAAAAACGCCTTACGAAACATGGTCATTTTTTTCCGCGAAAAAAAAAACGCCTTACTAAATAGATGGTCGGGGTTTTTTTTGGGCTAAAACGCCTGACTATACATGGTAGTCTTTTCGGCTAAAAAC